CGTTACCTCAAATTCGTGGCTATATGACTCGGTGTATATGGGCGCTCTAATTATGCACCCTGGATCGGCACTAATTGACTGTGCGTTTGGGCACTTCTGGTCTGGTCTGCTTGGTTGCACTAAGTACAGGCAAATTCGTGGCTATATGACTCGGTGTATATGGGCGCTCTAATTATGCACCCTGGATCGGCACTAATTGACTGTGCGTTTGGGCACTTCTGGTCTGGTCTGCTTGGTTGCACTAAGTACAGGGATCGTGTGTGTGTATATTTGGGTACCCCGGTACATTTTGGTTGAAGAATTTTTTTCAAACCGTCTCCGATGCATCCTTGCACGTTACGGAAAAGACGTCAGGCTTTTTTTTCGTGCGTTGGAGCACTGATGGGTTTTTTTGGTTTTTATTTTTAGCTTTCGTCGTATTTAATTCTGCCGTTTGTGTATGTGTAATTTTTTTTTCTTTTCACGTGTCTATCACTCGGTGTATGTGCGTACGGGTCGACTCATAGGACGATGCGTGGTTGTCAATTTGCTGGAACGCGCTGGTTACCGGATCTTGACGTCATTCTCAATATTTATTTGCCTGATTTGAACCTGCGCATACGTCCTATTGAATTATTCGGCTCGGGTGCGCACAAGTCGGATTTTGACAACTGTAAGATTGTTGCGACTATTGCGAGTTATTTCAATGCTAAGACTGAGAAGCGCTCGTTGGCAGGTCGCCAGGTTGATCGACCTATCTGAGAGGAGCAGCCCGATAGCTTTGTGGCATGATTTTTTAAAACTTCTATACCTGCCGTGAGTGCGAGGGAGAGAGTCTTACGGGTTGTTCAGCGGGTGAGAGAAGGACAGACATACTCCTTAAGGAAAATGACATAGGTGGGTGTTAAGACACTTTCGAAAATTTTTTTTTTTTTATATGAACGCAAGTCATCAACGTCCATTATTATCATTATATTAATTTTACTCGTATCTGGTTATGAGGTGTTAAATAATTACTTAATAACATTCATTGCGTAATACCTGTCAAATCATACTGTTACATTAGTATACAGTATATCCATACGTAGTAGCGTATATCTCTATATACAAAGAGATATTCTAAGAATCCTTGTTTCGCGTATAAATATCAACTCGTAATTTCTTTTTCGATTTGAAACAAGGAATTTGCAAGTCGGTATGTCTTTTGGATATCGAGTAGAATTTCCCTGGGGAATTTCACCCGCACAGGCGCGTAGTATGACAAGAAGCGGGAGAAGGGGGTCGAATACAGATTCCTGCACCGGCATTTACCGACACTCGGAGGATCTTCAAAGGGTTCGTGTCCGTGCTAAATTGACGTCCCCTTCTCAGGCTACCGGAACGGCTGCATCTATGCGTATTTCGCCTGTGGTCTTTCTTTTTCTTTTTTGCTTCCAAGGTTTCCTGACTTTTTTGAAAAATCGTTGGAGCTACCGTAAGGGCTGATACTCACGTAAATTCCTTCGCCGCGCTTCTCGTCTGCAACGTAAAATCAAGGCACGCACATTGCGCACACGCGGCGATGCACCCGATGCGGGGAGCTGCGGGAGGGGGGTTTCGGGGGAGGGATCAGGGGGTTGATACTTGGCGCGCACACATGTGCGCACAATCGTGATTCATACATATATACATATATATACCCACACGTGCTTCTTTGTATGCTCGCAGAAGTGCACGATAGCGTCTCGTTGACCCAGTTGATGGCTCCGCCTGAGAGCTGGTTGCATCGTCCTACGTGGGTGCATGTGCAACTGCATCTGCAAAGCCGTGCTTTAAATAAGGGATATGCGAGAGTCTCCCCTTGGCTAAGAGCGTCTCACGGTTTAACGCGTATAACGGTACATACACGCAAACGTGTCGTAACACGTGGCTGATAATGACTTCCCGTCGTTGACGAAGAAAAAAAAATGCATTTTTCAAATTTTTCACTCGCACGATAAAAGATATATATATCCCCCCCCCCCCCC